GAAGGGGGCGCGGAGACGTGGACGTGTTTACATGGAGATCCCCCAAGTCCCAGTTAGACTTGCACGCGTGTGAAGTCACGATCGGGCCGCTGTTCCTGAGGGCTGGTGCTGGCGCGGGGAGTCGGCCCGAGACCCTGGAACTCTCGCTGCTTGTCTGTGCAGAAAGCTCCCAGCGTTGAGTTTTCTCCCTCCTGCTAGACTCGTTTCACACCTTCCACTTCCCACTTTCCTTAGTTCTTTTAAGCAGAAGCCATAGTGGGGCCTGCACGTTGATTAATCTGTAGTTTCTATTTTTATACTAAAGCAAGTCGTTTTTCACGCCTTTCAAATCCCTTTTCATCTTGCAGCAGGTCCCACCCTAATCCTGTCCCATCCTTGTAACTACCAAAGTAGTATTTTTGCATACATTAAGTTTCTGTTTTTCTGAGAAGACTCCTATTGTGGGAAATGTGGATGGGGAGTGGAGACTGGAGGCAGTAAGTTAAATATTTATGGGTGAAAGATGTGGAAGCAGGACGGCGAGAGGCTGGTAGTTCTGTGTGGTTGGGGTGGATTACTGTGTTGGCAGTTGCAGTAGAGTAAATGAAAAAAGCTAGTCTCAAAACAATATTCAGTATGATCTCATTTTTATAAAAAATATGTGTGTAGAAAAATATCTGGATTGAAGACCTCAATGGCTGAAGGCGAGAGGAAGACAGCCCTGGAAATGGTCCAGGCAGCTGGAACAGATAGACACTGTGTGACATTTGTATTGCACGAGGAGGACCATACCCTAGGAAATTCTCTGCGGTACATGATCATGAAGAATCCGGAAGTGGAATTTTGTGGTTACACTACGACCCATCCTTCAGAGAGCAAAATTAATTTGCGCATTCAGACTCGAGGTGCTCTTCCAGCTGTTGAGCCATTTCAGAGAGGCCTGAGTGAACTCATGAATGTCTGCCAACATGTGCTTGACAAGTTTGAGGCCAGCATAAAGGACTATAAGGAGCAGAAAGCAACCAGAAATGAATCCACATTCTAGTCCCTTATGCAGGAGGCAAAGAGGATCTTTTCGAATATTCTGTTCATGATTGTGCAGTCCTCAGAATTAGAAACTTGTGATTACATGCTCTGTCCTTTAGCAAGATGTGGTTCTAGCTGTTGACCCATTACAGCTATTTGAATCCCAGCAAGAACTTGTATATTTGCCTAATAAATTCCCTGTTTTGTTTAAACTTCTTTGAGTGGTTTCTATTCCTTGCAACCAAACGATTTTTAATGATGCTTCCCCCCACCTTAATTGCAAGTGATCAGGGACCTAGACAAGGACTTTGATCATGGGAATAGAAAAGAATACCTTTCCTGTCTGGTTGGAGTCATAGAGGAAAAGGGAAAATGCACTTGAAAGTGACCCAGTAGATTATAGTTGGTTTAAAAAGGAAAGAAAATTGGGATGGGACTTCTTGGTAGATTGTTTAGTAATGAAAATTACATCCTTTCCTATGATTTTTCGATTAAGGGTGGGGAATAATTTCAAAGAGCTGTTTGAATTCAGGTTTTACAGGAGTGTTAGGCAGTATCAAGCTCCATCTTGGTAGCATTTATAAGATAAATACCAATTTACTGCTTGAATTTCAAGACTAGTAAAATATCTAGTTATGACCTGAGTAAGCCAAGAGATTTTATTTTGTAAGAGGAAAAAGCTGAGGTAACCAAATAACATTTTCAGTCCTTAGGTCGGTGTGTAAGTATAGCCTAGGGTTACATAGAAGAAGCATTACGTTTGGGAGAAAATAAAGACAAAAATATTCTAAGTGGAGAAATGACATTTTTGGGAGATTGAAGTATTAGTGAATCACATCCAACAGCCATCCTACCTACCTTTTCAACTTAGTCTCACAACTATCTTATCCTAACATGGCTCTGAATTCACTGCAGATACCTGTCTTTAAACCTAAACAGCAGACCCCTGAGTGAAGGCCCCTGTGGTTTGGGGGCTTTATTGATTCTTTTTTTTCTTTCTGGTGCAGTCTTAAGGCAAAACAGTTCTCAGACTCCTCAACCTAGTTGGGTACTTCCATGTACTTTCATTACACTCTGAGTTTTCTGATCTCCGTATTTACTTTACTGTTGGTAGGACTTATGCTGCCCCCATACCAACTTGCTTATCAATATGAGTCAAATAATTTAACACAATGCCTGGCAGGTATTGGACACTTAATAAATAGATCTGCATGTTTGTAGCATAGTAAGCAAGGAGAAGGGCCAGACCTCTGGATGAATGTAGTTAAGCCATATAGTACTTCAGTCACCCAAATTGACCTATTCCAGCCTTCCACAAAGCCTACATTTCTATTTTCAGTTCACTTCTTTTAAAGACATGAGGTACATAGTAGGCCCCACTGTCATGGAGGGGGAACAGCATTAAAGAAAACAGTTGTAATTCTGTGAAAGAACCAAGTACAGGAACAAGATAGAAAACATGGGAGGAATCTGCTTTAGGCACAGAAGTTAGGGAAGGTCCTTCAAGAGATTACAGAAGAAGTAGGCTGTGCAGTATACAGGAAAAATGAATTCTTGAGGAATAATATGTGCAGTGGTCCAGAAGCAGAAAAAAGTTGCATATTTGTAACACAGTAGGCATGGAAAAGGGCCTCGCGTCTGGATTCAGTAGAAAGAAGAGCTGGGGTGTTAAGGAGATTGAATTCTAAGTGCAATGGGAATGACATATTAATTACTTTACTGTGGGGAGAGGTGAATTATAGGGCATCCAGAGTAGAAGCAGACAGACAAACCAGTTAAAGTGACCTGGAAGAGTGATAAGCTAATTATAGGGGGAAAGGGTGGATTTGAGATAGTACTTTAGAATTATGTAAATCAGATTTCAATTGATAGACTTGAGGAATTGGGTACTGAAGATGAGTCAACAGGTAACTCCTTTCTACGTTTGAGGCCCAGTTACTGAAATGAAGTGTAAAGGATAAAATAGGATGGAAGGTAGAAAAGGTGATAGGAGTCAGAGTATAGGCAGTATGTATGTGAGATGGAGGCCACGGAAAAGATAGATCTAAGCTGGAAATGAACTTTTGGGAGTCCTTGCCATAAGATGATATAAAATTGTAAAATTGGAGAGTGACAAAGAAGTAGGCTAAAAAGTGCTGGGCAACTTCAGTAGTAAGAATGACTAGGTAAGGTGGTAGGAAAGTTTGCAGAGAATAGAGTTGTAGACTTTCAAAATGGGAGAATGATGCTGAATGAGTCATATAAGCACCAGAAAATGTCAGCTGGAGTGCCTAAAAAGGGTAAAAATTTACCATGTATTGTGCAGAGAAACGGCTTAGAGTTCACCAATAAAAAGACACACAAGGACATTAGAGAAGTAGGTTTAGGTTGGAGCAGGGATAAGGAAAGATGAAAGTCATGGGGCAAGGATGGAAAATATTCTCCTAGGGTGATGAAGATTCTGGAAAGCTAGTATCAGTGTAAGGGCGTTAGCACTGGACAATGTAAGGAAGCCCAAAAGGAGTTAGTGGAAAAGGATCAAAACCTGTTGTCTGCTCTAACAATTGCCTATGGAGGAATAGTAAACAGCATTATTTGTATGGAGTTTAATTCTGAACCAAGGCCTGTCAGGAGATATACACGAAGTTCAGTTAGTGGGCATAGAGGTAATAAGATGGTAGTACTCAAGTAACCACTAACAGTACATGTGGGAAATTCACCTAATTGTGACCACCACCACATCTCATGGCTTCATTTCACAATTTATTGTCATTGATCATGGTTTAGTTTAGGGTGGCCCTAAATGATGGTGTACTGCATGAAGACAACAGACTAAGGAAGGGCTGAATTGGTGTAAGGAAAGGCTAGGTAAGACAGACATGAGTCATTTATTTACATAAGCTGAAAAAAATCACATGACCAGTATCTATGATTTGTTCCCTAATAGTGTGTAACTCAAACCATGTGGTATTAATGATTCAGGATCAGAAATTCTGGTCAGCTATAAAGTACTATGCCTTTTAAAAAGCCAATTATTAAATATGATTACATACCAAAAGCTTTTAATACATAATAATTCCAAGCACTTGCTGGTATTTTCCATTTTCAAAAACGCTTTACAAACTGATTATTTGTAAATTGCATATATCTAACATCTAAGTGCTCTAATTGGCACACCTCATGGAATCACGCAGAATCTGTGTGGAGATTAAAAGGTATCTACATAAAAAGTGATCCATTTAGTGCTGACTCAAGAATGTCTAACATTTCAAGAAATGTGAAAGCATATTAAGTTCCATAGCCCACAGTTCACCACCCTTTTTTTCATTCCTTTTAAGCATGTTAATAAGATTATAATCTCCAGATCACTAAACAAAAGTCATTTCTTTTTGGGTTAGCATCGTTTAGACTTAGATCTTTTTTAATACCCTTCAACCTGAGCTCCCAAAAAATCTACCCAAATCTGACAGTCTACTTTCAAGGACCTATAAATAGGCCAGATCTAGCCCTTTTCTGCTCAGATTTTGAATGTTGATTCTCCTTTTGCTAAACTTTTACTGACCTAGTACAGTAACTGTGAATCTGTATTTTTTTCAGTAATGAAATTCCTCCCAATCCTAGATTATGGAACCTCAAATTGTTTATATACCTAATAGCACAGTCCTGAGAAATAGTGGAAATAAGAGACTAATGAATCTGTCCTTAAAAGTTGTAGGTTTGGACAGGACAGGTGAGTTGTATACATGGAAAGATAAATTGTGTCTGCAGTGAAATGTCCTGATATGCCTGTTGAGTGAAAATAGGTGAGAGATGTATTCGAGGAATGATAGTCTCACCAGCATCCTCTCTGACAGCTCCTGTCCTTGGAAGGTGGCAAACAAGACGGGCGTAGTCTGCTTTCATGGAACTCAAGGAGTATTAAAGTTGGTGGGCTGGTAAAAAATATTCCAGAATTAATGGGTTTCCTCTTTCCCAATGTAAAGGAGCTGTTAAAAATACTTGAGCTAGGAAATGCCATAAAGTTTTAGTTTTTCACCCCATACCTATGTGCAGAACGGTGGGTGGAAGGGAACATTGGAAGACAGAAGTGAGTTAGGTGGCATTGTAATCATACAGGTGTGATGTAAAGAGGGTGTAGTTGTAGGAACAGAGATTAAAAATTAGATACAGAAAATTGCTAAAACAAAGTGAGAGACAGAGTCTATGTAGGAGTAAAGGTGAGACAAGGGTTGAAAATGACTCCCAACGGTCTATCCCTCTTCATTTATCCCTTGGCTTTCCTGTCACTCCCTCACAATCAAAACCAGTAAGGCAGGATTTTCCATCTTCTGTTCCCCGGCCTGAACTAATAGGAGTCAGTAGGTTCAACCAGTCATACTTACCTCCTTCCCCACCCCATCAGAATAATTCACATCTTTTACAGTGATGACAGTGTGGGCGTATAGATGTGAAAACTGGGAATGGAGAGAGGGTGCACAAGTGAGCAGAAGGGCTATTGCTGCTTTTGGTTTTTCACGAAGTTCCTCTCTTCAAAAGAACATTTCATTCATTGGTTCTGTAGATGTTACTGAGCAAGTACCATACTATATGAAGGGATAGTGTAAGTACCAGGATACAGCAGGGAACAAGTTGGCCCACATAGCTTAGTTTCTAAAGGCAGAGATAAAAAAAAAAAAACAAACAAACAAATGCATAAATAGGCAATCCACTTTCAGGAGGTGATAGAAGCAAGAAATAAAAAAACAGTGGCCAAGAGGAGAAGGCACTGAGGATGAGTAGTTGAGGTCTGATTAACTACCAGTGAGAAAGCAAAATTATGAAGCTTTTTGAAGGAATAAGTTTTGCAGTTAAGATTTGTGTGTGTGGTTTTTATTAGTGTCTACATTTATCACTTATTGTGTTCTATATATGCATTTACCTACTGATTATAGTAAAAATATTGAGTTACCATGTGAGATAGCAGGATTTAGTGTGACTGTTCTAGATTGGTTCATATATGTGTTTGTAGCAGGTGGATTTTTTTTAATGCAGATTTTCAGGGGAGTATTTTTGAGAAAAGAAGTACAGTCACACTGATACTCACCCAAGGAATGGTTCCTAGACTTCCTCAGAAACCAAATCTGAGGTTATGCAAGTCTCTGATATAAAACAGCATGGTATTTGCATAGGACCTATGCTTATCTTCCTGTATACTTTATATCATCTCTAGATGATTTATTATATCTACTACAGTGTGA